TTTCATATGTTTTGTATACATTTTCATTTTGTTGATTCGAATAAATACTGCCATAATTAAACAACTGACTTGTATCTGAATTTTTTAATATCCAAAAATTTTTTAAATTTCACAACTATATGCACTTATTCATCAACTCAATTGTCATTGAGCGAAATAAAAATATACACCTTTAAAAGATGTTTTTATAAAAAACTATCATTACAATTTAATAGTTAAAATAAAATGTTCAACACTTGCACTCTTTTATAACAATATATCGCAGCCTGTACATCTCTCTCATTTTTAAAAAATGTGCAAAAATATATATCATTACTTACACAACATACATATAACAAGAGACTCTATAAAGTACACTGTTAATACTTATATTTTGTTGTACCGCACTTTTACACCTTTTTGACTTTTAAACTCTGCGAAAATCAATTTGCACAGAAACAAATGGAACACAATGATCAAAAAAGCTATAGCCAACCAGAACAGTGTAGGCAAACCAGCCAGTTGATGTCCATGCTTGTGCATGGCCATTATGTTATGATCGTGAGCCGGAGCTGTTAAAATAAATAGTTATGTGATAAAGTTCACAGAAGATATCTGAAATGCATTTTCGTACCTTCATCGACCGCATGAACATGAAGAGTATTTCGTAATTCTTGCATATGCTGATAATCTGATGTTATATATAAAATTGCTGTCAATGGCGTCGTTAGTTTCACTGGAAATTTCGTATAAGATCTACTAAGAGCAACTGGTTCGTCAAGACAGCCAGCATCGCATCCAAAGTAAACACTATTGCTTCTATCCAACGCAACTGCCAATACTGCTCTGTTATCTTCATTTACAGTTACAGAAATATTCAAATGTGTAACGTTTCCATAACTGATCCTCCTATAAATTTGAGGTTTTATTTGGCCAAAGAAAAGTTTTCCAATGATTGTTTCAGTTGATAAATAAATAGCATGAAGTAATTACTGACCTGAATAAGAAATCCCTATGCAAATGTTGCGGATCAATATTAAATTCTAAATGTTGATTACTAAATCTGAAACCTCCAAGACTCAAGACTATTGCTTGTAGTACGGCTGAAGGATTACCATTCATGAGTTTATAGCACCCTTGTTTTTCTAATGTTATTAACCAAGACTCGACTAATCTATTAACTGCATCAATGGTAGAAGTGTCTGTCCATAAACGTGGAGCATTTCTGAATCAGTTAAATATGATTATTTGTACATTTATGTTTTTACTTCTCTCAAAATTTTACATCTACCACTCTGTCACTTACAAAGTATGATGACCATGGTAACAGCCTTCATTGTTTATGATACTTTTTTCAATATCCGGTACTGCCTTTGGTATTTGACTCAACACGTAATAAATGGTTGAATTTATTTGATGACCATTAATTGCTCCAATGGCTTTTGAATCGCTGATTTGTACTCCAGAATGCCAAAACTGCTGCCAAATATTTATATGATCTTCTTTCAAACTTTGATTGTGCTGCTTAATAAGAGCTTTTTTCATGTGCTGTACAAAAAAATGTTTATTTAGGTAAACAAAAACGAAAAGTAACTAAAATCATAAATCGAGCGACTTACTTCAACACTTTTCTCTCTGATTAAATCTTTTTGCTTATGATACTGATCTATTAAAATAGGTTCACTGTATGAAATACTAGTTAAATATTCCACTTTCGTGGAACTTCTGGCTTTAACTTGTATATTTTTTGGTAAAGCATGGTAAACCATGGAAATGGCAACAATTTTGTTAGAATTGGGTATAGAGACAAAGCCAGATACAACGTTAAATGGATGATTTGTGTGTTCCACTATAATACTAAAAAATTAAAGATTGCATGTCTCAAGGTTTTTACAATTTAAAAAGAATGAGTAATCATGAGATCTTACTTGATTGTTTCTGTAAGAGCATCCGTCCAATAAACAGGTGCTTGTGCTTTGAATGGAAACTCTTGCAAAATGCCGGAAGGATTGGATATTTTGATCTCTTGGATAAAGATTCCTTCCAGAACTCTGTGAGCATAATACTGGTATTGTATATGATGTCCATCCCTGAAGCATTGGTATTTATAAACTATGCCCTTCGTATACTGAGTGACGGTCGCTTCTCGATAAATAGTACTCTCGGAAATTGGATAAGTGATCAATGGTTGCCACTTCACTGGCAGAGATAGGGTTCTTCCATTTTTTATGTAAAGCCTGGATTCTTGTTGAATCGGGACGCTAAAAACGCCGTTTCCTACGTAAGGCAAATAAGGATATTGATCATCTTTCGGCGGATCGAATAGAATATTGGCATTGTATTCGACAGAATCAAAGTAGAATCCAGCCAGTCTTTCACGGATGCAGTGATCTTCGTAGGCTGCAGAAAGTAATAAAATTTAGCGTGAATCATTCGGTCGAAAGATTGCCGGTCCAGAGCTGATGAAGGAAGAGCAATGGATTACCTTCAATGGGTTCCCTACTGCCCGAAAACAGCCACTGTGCCAGAGATGAGCCGACATACAAGAGGACAGCTGCCAAAATTATTAGAAGCAACAAAATCTTGCGGCAAGAATAATTGCCATCAAGCAGACGACGTAACCGTTTGCAAAACTCATGAACGTCAAACATACCAGCGCTGCCTCGCATTTTACACATTTCCAACACTCGGGTTCAGAGGCCTATCGGCTACTCGTTCTTAACCGATGAATTAAATAAAAATGGTAAACAAACCTGGTTTGTTTATATTAATCAGTCGCTCATAACCTTAAGGTACAACTGTTTCGGCACCAAAGAAAACGGAGCAACTCGTCACGCGCTTTAGAATAGTACATGCACACGTACCGGTACTCATAAACGGCATCATGCCAAAAAACTGTGTAGGTGCTTTAGCGGTGTAAGTGAAAATTACGTCATTTTTTTAATCATTGCACGCATATATTATTATGAAAACATATGGGAAGTCCGTGCTTCGTCTGCTGTCGCTTGCAAGATGCGCGCGCAAGCACAATGTATTCTGCTGCTGTATACATATAATATATATGTGATAAGGAGGATATGAAAAATACCCGCAGATGATTACAAATCATTAAAATATAAAAAAATTGAAATAATAGTTTCCCCGTAACTGCTATGATTTTACAGGTACACCAGTACTTTACTTTATTGAGTGCCTATGCCTCTGTGTAGTAAAATAGATCCTATGGGTAGTATTTTTTTATATCTTGACTGTATTTCAGATGTTAATAACACAGTAGGTATATATAAGGCCGTGGTAAATAACTTTGTATAAGAAAAAGTCACATAAATATGTATTTTTCTCTCATATGTTATATTTAATCTTTGGCTAAAAGAAATCAAAATAAGTTTACGAGTAATTTACAAAATCACGTAAGCAATAATGCTTTTTGTTAATTAAAACGTAACACGATTGAGTAAATAATTTTGAATCATTTCAATGTACTTTAAAGTAATCATTTGGACTTATATACTGTAGTGGTTAAACCTGTGATAAAATGGCATTGCGTAATAAAAAAAAAAAAATAATAATAATTCATTATTACTATATTTGAGATATAATTGATACAAGGATTTTATTCCAGCTGACGAGTTTAAATATAACTTATCGGCAGATCAGGAAAATGAAAATTTCAAGCGATAGCTCCAATAAATCAATTCAAGACAATTTGTCGCGTTACGTAATAAGATTTTCGTGTCTGATTGGTGACGTTATCTATAAACATAGATCGGTCCATGAAACCATTTTTGCACGTAAAAATATGCGACAGCGGTCTTTGGGTGAGTTTAAAAAGTATAAAAAGTTTTTGAATTTAAGTATTTTCTACTTTCTCGTACTTGGTTTTTTTTAACCTGGAAAATCTTTGTAGAAAAAATAGTTAAAAAAACAAACAAACAAACAAACAAACAAATGATAAAGAGAAAAGTGTCGTGTTTGCCTCGTATACTTCAATACCGTCGATAATAGCGTTGCACTATTGTTCTCGAAAGGCACCACGGCTATACATAATACGTAGAGTTGATCACGAGAGAAAGGCTCTCCTTTTTTGTTCAACTTTGTTGAAATTAATCAAATGATCTCCTCTCGACGGTAAATTAATAAGTCATCACTGTATACCTACAATCGGTGCATTGTTGTTAAATCGCTTACCATAATTATACGCATCCGATTCCTAAAATAACTTGGCAATTAAATAATTTTATGTGATTTATGTGATTGATAACTAGCTATGTTCTAGACCACAACTTTTTTGAGGAAGAAGAAGAAAAAAAAAAAAAAAAAAAAAAAAAAGGGAAATAAACATGGTGAATTTATCCCGCAGGATGGATAATGGCCCACTCTATACTGTTGTGTAAAATTAAGCATGGCATCACGTGGGCATGGCCAAGAATTCAACAGTGTCACCCACAAACAATTGAAGATGCGAGGGAGGAGTAAAGAAAGAAAGAAAAAAAAAAAAAGAAAAAAAAGTTCCCTGGGAACGAGCGAAGAAGAAAAAGAGATAAGAGAACGAAGGGAGGAGGAATAGCAGCGCGTGTGCTTGCACGTATATATACGGGAGAAAGCAGGAGCAGCTGCGACAATACCGGGGCGCACTCGTGCAATCCAGTTAAATAAAAGGGAAACTTTCAAATTGACTCGATATCGCCGGAGTCAGTCTCTGCCATGGGTTGGTTGTTGATATATATATACATACATATATCCACTTCCTTTTTCTCATGTCAATCGGCTACAAACTGTTTGTGCTATATGTACCTATACACCCAGTGCTGTTCCCGACCAATTTTACTTTCAAACTGCGCATTTCCTCGCGGACGCGCGGCTTTTTGCATCGACAATTTTCAACTACGTATTCACGCACCTATATATACATACCCACGCTTTTATGCGCTCCCTAAAGAGCAGCAGCGCTATAAATTTCCCGGTTTTAGTATGGACTTTGCATCATTGATTTGCCATTAGCGTTGGATTCTCTGGTCTTCCCTGATGCCTGGGACCTCTGCTCTTTTTGCGCGCACCTCTGCTCGGGAGTTTGTACAAACAGTAGAATATCAAAGCACTTTGAATAAGTAAAGGAGGAACTTTTTGTTGGTACTTGGAAAAAGGAGGAAAAAAAGGAAAGTATGTTTAAGACGCGCAGCTCATATCTCGAGTGAACTTTCCGTGGGAGGGGCTGGAGATGATTTGTAAAACATAAAGCGATGAATCGTGACGAAATCGATCCTACTCTCGCTACATGAAAGTATACGATAACGATCGCGAGCATTAGACTACACAAAAGTATTTTTGTGCGCGCGTCTGGTAAGCGAAAGAAAACGCGCAGATGGAAAGGAGAGCATATATAGGTACGGGGAAACTTTTGCATCACAAAAGAAACCTGGCTTCTTTTGATTAACTTTGCGGGTGGAGGGTAGGCAAGCTATACAAGGGAGAAAAGGAGCAGCTTCTACACGGGGGGGGGGGGTATACGCACGAGTGTACGCATACAGCATCATCGGAAGCAACAACAGCGCAGGGGAGGAAAAAAAAAAAAAAAAGAAACGAAAGGTTCGATATAATATCGACTTGCGCGCGCCCAAAGCTTCACCCCCCTCCTCCAACCGCTTTTTTTTTCTTCTCCGTATATGTAGGTATACGTACTTCTCGCGGAGTAGCCACTTTTTTGACAGCCATCAGGTTGTACCTGACACGGAGCAAGGATCTTAAACGGAAGAAGCCGACCGCGACGGTAAAGGGGCGTCGAAGACGCGCACGGGCCGCAAAGAATTATTAGGAGCGCTATGTGCACGACATATCCGCGCGCACACCCACACATGTGGTTGTACATTTATATAAGTATACGTATTGTACACGCGGGAACGGACGGATCTGTGTCACGCGCATAGTAGACCTATGGAACGGGGGGGGGGCGGCGGCGGCGGAGGAGGAGGAGGAACCCTCGTCCGGATGGTACAGACTTCCTAGACCCGTGATATCGTAATATCATGTATGTGTGACCACATGCACAATGTACACACGAGGATGGTTGTACACCTGTATTGGTATACATTACACGTCCCGCAAGAGAACTCGTACCTATATATATTGAGCCGAATTCCGCGCGCTCCCAGCCTCCCCCTAGCTCCAGCACCTCTACAGTCCATCAGTTGGAAACAATAACAACGAGCTGTTCCATATATATATATATATTGTACATATATACATATGGACATTTGAAATGGGTATGTTACATAATTATGATACCTGCAGTGTTCATACAAGTTAAAGGAAACCAGAGGAGGGGTGGTGGTCCCCGTCACACTGGGTCAACGCAATACGTATGGAGGAGGTTGTATATGTATACGTATAAGTGTATCGTTGGCTTCCGGAGCGACGGCATCGGCACTGATGATGATGATGATATACTGGTGGGGTGGATGCATGTCCCCGACACGAATAACCTGCACATCGGGAGGATGGATGATTGAACGGGGATAGAAGAACCAGAGAGCCAGACCCAGGGGGGGGGGGCGCTGCCAGTGGCACGGTTGATGGGCCTACGTCGAGTTAGTTGACCGCGAGCCTCGCGCCTGTCCGCACGTAATATCCGATGACCATATAACGACTGCTCCCTCTTTTTAACGAGTTCTTTTCCATTTTTTGCATGAATAATTGTACGCGCATCCTCGGAATGCGAATCGGTTGCGAATAAGTAATCGCCAACGGGCCGCGTGAATTTTGAAAGGAGGCGCGAGTGAGACCCCCGGATTTGGCAGATTGAAGGGCGACGAGAGCAGCCATCAGGGAAAAAAGGACGCGGGGCAGGCAGGACCCATATCAGGATACGGAAAGGGAGGCGTCGCGGCGCTACTCGGCGCTGGCGCGCATCGTACGTATAATACGCTGCCGTGGGGCGCGCGGGGCCACCAGCCGGAGAGAAGAAGAGGCGAAGGAAGAGGCTGGCCAGTGCTGTTGCTGCCGTAGCTCGCGAAGGACCGCCACCCTCACCCCGTCAACGACCAAACTTCCCGCTCCTCGGCCCTCTCTCAGGTGCGTATTATATATATATACTCGTCGTACATGTATCAATTTACGTGTTTACATGGGGTACAACACAAAAACAATATTGATCATTAATTCCTATGGTTGGTGCGTGTGTACCTATCTATGTATGTGTACAGAAATCGCGAGAATGAGTTAACGGGTGCAAGGGGTGCATTATTGTAAATTGTCGTTTTCATCGGGTAAGACTGTACACGCGCGGGGGACGGGCTCTCTTCCTCGATCGGGATTTAAGCGACAACTTGTAGGACTCCCTGGCACCGAGCCATGCCCCGCGCGGATCATCGGACTAGGCCACTATTCGCACTATTTCCGCGTCTGCGTGGCCCTTTGCCAGCGACACTTGTGCGAGCGCCCCCGTGTATATACTTACGTGCTTCCCCGGAAGGAAGGAAGCAAGAGGACCCGTGATGGGATTTACCAGTATATAACGTGCGTGCCACATATTTACCCACATAATATATATATACTTACGGACGGGGGCGCGCATAGAAACTCGGCCTCGGCTAATTAGAATATAGCTGTTTTTTATGAGCGTGGAAGAGGAAGAGGGAGCCCAGAAGAGAAGGCTGTTGCTCATACGTGTACATGTACACCTACCAACCGCTATCATGATGTATTATTTATTACACGGGGACGCCCCCGCCGGACATGCACATTAGCGCGCCTCATCGGCCCGTAATACACCTACATCGTGTACCGTGTGTGCCTCTCTCGCTCTCCTTGCGGCGCTCGCACTTTTTTTTCCCTCCCTTCCCTCCCCCTTCCCCCATTACAGTCGCGTATAGACATTATTTATACCACCGTGTGCGAACGCTGCGACGATCACGAGGTTATTTGTTATTAGCGTAGACGTACCCGTGTACGTATAATAGGTGCGTGCCGTAACGTGTTGTGCGTAGAGCTTTTTCTTTTTTTTTTGTTCGTTTTCCGCTTCCGTCGTTGCTCGCACCCCAAAAGCTCACGCTCCACTTCCAGCCGAGCCCGACCCCTGGATGCTGCCCCCCCCCCAAACGTATAGTACATCCTCCCTGGTACGCGTCCCGCATCGGCACACCCCAAAGTGCGTGAGCTTGCACCTACTGTATGTATACACACAACGTATTTTGGTACAGCATCCCCGTGCGCGCGCGCGCCCGCGTTCTTTTATATATGTGTGTGTATGGCCACACATGCGCACCAGTCCATGGTGATCGATTCTTCGAGCGAGACGGTTGATCTCTCTCGGGGTGCGTCTCGCCGACTGGCGCATCTTTTCATTTGTCGTCCCGTATGTGCGTACAAACAGGTATGAAAAAAAAAAAAAAAAAAAGGAAAAGAGCATCAGCGGCGGAGTAAAGCGCGCGAGCGAGCGCTCTTGTAAAATAAGGACTGTAGCGAGAGAAAGGGAGGCGCGCGCTAGATGACTGCGCGACTCGTATATAATAACCGCGAACACGCAGGAGGGAGGCTTCGGATCGCTTCTACGGGCGGTTGGGGGAATTTTTGCTTCGCGAGCGATACATATACATACGTGTGTATAAATGTACAGACAAGTACGGGCAAGGAGGGACAAAAGAAAGAAATCTGGCTTCGTTTCAAGGATACACCGGAGCACACACGTCATACGTATATACAACCTTATATTTATATACACGCGAAAATGAACATCGGATGAAGACACGCGCTACGAGCTTTTCTTTCTTTTCTTTCTTTCTTGCCCTTTGTCCGGCCGACCCCCTCTCTCTACAGTGCCCTCTTTTTCTCCCTGTCCATCTGTATGCGTTACGATCTCGGGAGCTGATTCGCTTTTTCTCTCACACCCCCCCTCCCCCCTCCTGACCGTTCTCTTTTCATCTTACTTTTCGGATCCTCTCTCTTATCCGTCTAATCCACGAGCCACGAGTTACGTACAATAGCAAAAAGTAGCCTCGGACGGCTGAAAAGACGTTGTATTTTCCCGAGGAGTGCAAGCATCGGCTGAAGGCCGGAGCTTCGGAGGGAGCGTGAAAAAGGCCGAAAGTGCAGCAGGAGGAAATCAAATGGAAATCAAATGTCAGATGACGCGGGTTTCGGGCTATTTCCTTTTTTTTTTACCTCTTCGCCGTCACCGACAATCTCCTCCAAGTATATATACAAAAAAAAAAAAGGCTCTTGTCTCGTTCTGGGCGCAAAAATTGACCCACAAACTCGTTAAATTCCCAAAAGGACTCGGCTCACAATTACGAGCTCTGCATAAATTTTGGTAGGTATCTCTCCTCCGCCACCCCCCAGTATCGATCGGGAATGTAATATAACAGGTGTAGGTTATACGTTGTCTCGTGGCGTTTCGCCCCCACGAGCTAGTTGATTACGTTCTAGCTGATCCGATGGTGGCACGTACGAAGGGATGGTCGGGATAATGGGGGGGGGGGGCATGAGAGCGAAATGAACCACCGAGTCGTAGGGACGAATATGGCATTTTGCACACGAAAACGAGCGAGAGAAGGGGGGGGTCGCGAGCCCCACATCGATTATGACGCCCCAGAAAGTTCTTTGTTCGAAAATGGGACGATCGGAGCTGGCGCTGTCGGGCAATCGGCTTCCGCAGATTTGCGCGGATTGTTGCCCGTGTACCTATACCTACCCCCGACCTGTCAAATTGCCCAAACGGAACAGCTGCTCTCGCTTCAAAGGGGATCCCCCCCCCCCGTGTCGCGACTACACGCGAAAAAACGCTACTGAAAATACTGCCTACATCCGTTCGTTCGAACGCTTCTCGATTTTTAGTCGCTGTGCTCTTTTTTTTTTTTTTTTCTAAATTGTTGGGAATTTTGCAAAACAAATTCGTGTCGGGTTGTGCTCGAAAGCAGAATCCGCATATTACACGTACACCTCTGTTTTTAAGTATAAATAAGCAACTGCGGGTATCACGTACATAAATAACAAACAATAATGTAGATCATTTGATTTTTTTTTAAAAAAAAAGCACGTGCGATTAATATTAAAAAATAGACAAGTAAAATGTAAACATTTTAATATTTCTGATGTCTTATTTGGAAAAACACGGCTCTCAAGACTTTCATTTTTCCTTTGTTCGTCTTCGAAAGTCAGAGTGCACTCGTAATCATTTTCTTTAGAATTCACACAGGTATACAGTTACGTTCTACACAAACACGCTACAAAAGACAGTGTAACACGGGAGCTTTTTTTTTTTTTTTTTTATTCCCGAGATATATTCACCGCACGATTTTCGAGCGACCCGAAGGAGAGAAAGAGCGCTCAGCTTTTCTCATTTCATCGGAAATCCAAGCGGAATCGTAAATACTATTTATCAAAAGACGTTTCACGTTGCACATTCGCAGGGGTGTAAAAAAGTTTTTCTCGCACCGATACCCAATTTCGTTGCTCCAGATTTTTAAGCCTCGTCACATGATTCCACACTGCGCAACGATGTATCGGAAACGCATCGAGTTCCCGTGCGCCATCCGTGAGAATGATGTTTTCGATGACTGCACTGTCGCGTAACGCCTCTAATTAATATTGCGATCGAATCAATGCACGCTCCCTATTTGAATTTTCAAACATGAAACGTCAACAGGTCCGGAAAAAAAGATACACCGGAGCACGTTGAAAGTTAACTTTAGAACCAGTTAGGCGGTGCGAAATGTAACGCGAGTTGAAATAAGTAGAGAATACCCGAGTTTGGTCAGACGGGGGACTTTCCAACTTCCGTCCGGCGCGGAGCGATGAATAAGATATATTTTTCACCATACCGCGCCGGTACTTTGACAAGATCACCGAGCGAGCTGCTCGTAAAGTGAGTGTGATTTTTAATGGCACAGGTTGACCGGCTGTTATGGGCCAACGTGACGCGGGCGGGGAAGCAGAATCGCAATAGTTGGGAAAAAAAAAAAACAGAAGGGGAAAAAGGACAAAGGTAGCAGGAGAGAGAGAGGGAGAGCCGTCGAGGCTCTAGATCACCGGAATCAGCGGGATGGCGGACACGAGTATCAGGGAGCCGGAGCCGCTCGATCCGGAGAGCGGTGGTGGGCCGAGGGCTTCAATCAACTCGTCGACCGTCGCAACGTCCAACAAAAAGGACCTACCCGAGCGGGGATCCTGGAGCTCCAAAGTCGACTTTATCCTCAGTGTCGTGAGTCATTGCTGCTTACTTCTAATTTTTGTGTTCCATATCCATACGTGTATATACGTACTACTGGTGCTCCGTGGCCGCTGAATCGATCCTCATTACATACTACGATTGAGCATCAGTTTCATTGGATATCATCTTATGTTTTAACACGTTAGAGTCATATAAAGTCTTTAAACGTCCCGAACGGACTTTGGACACTTTTGTACTTTTTGTATTTCGTGGCAAAAAATAATACAAGTGATCATAACAACTAAAGCATTTTGAGCAAAATTCTCTTAAAAACGAAGAGCTCAAAGATTGCGTGGGAAAGTTATCCGAGAAAACGAGCGTTTGTTAAACATTTTCGCGCTGTTTGAGTAAAAAAAAAATGCTACTCAGGTGGGCCTGGCCATCGGATTGGGCAACGTGTGGCGATTCCCGTACCTGTGCTACAAAAACGGCGGCGGAGCCTTCCTCATCCCGTACTTCTTGACCCTCTTCCTCGCCGGCATCCCAATGTTCTTCATGGAGCTGGCGCTCGGCCAAATGCTCACCATCGGCGGCCTCGGGGTCTTCAAGATCGCCCCCCTCTTCAAGGGCATTGGGTACGCGGCGGCCGTCATGTCCTGCTGGATGAACGTCTACTACATCGTCATCTTGGCCTGGGCGATCTTTTACTTCTTCATGTCCATGAGGAGCGGTAAGTCTTACCCTAATATTTTACGTGTATACATATACCTATATAGCAATGTGAATTGTGCATAACAAGGCCGGGGGCAGACTGGTGAGAGAAAAAGGATATACTGTATATACCTGGCGCACCTATTTTTAGCTCCAATTGCACAGAGGAAGAGCTTTTTTGTCTTTTTTTTTTTTTTTTTAACTATTCGTCTTCGATTTTCACGCTCGTCCTTTGCTTTCTGCCCGTGTGTTCCAGAACTACCCTGGGGCAGCTGCAGTAATTATTGGAACACGAAAAACTGTGTCAACCCGTACGACAGAAAGCACCTCCAGTGTTTCCAGCAGATGGGCAAGAACGGCAGCCTCATTAAGCTCTGCACGTTTAACCACGTGAACGTCAGCTCGCACGACCTCTCCGACCCCGTCAAAGAGTTCTGGGAGTAAGTCGCGTGCACACCAAATAAAGAAAAAATAAAAAAATAACCCTTCATTCGCAATATTTAGGCGACGAGCTTTGCAAATAAGCCCGGGAATCGAGTACATGGGCAACTTGAGGTGGGAGTTAGCCGCGACCCTCCTGGTTGTCTGGATAATGTGCTACTTTTGCATCTGGAAGGGGGTCAAGTGGACCGGCAAAGTTGTCTGGTTCACGGCCCTCTTTCCCTACGTCCTGCTCGCGGTTCTGCTAATCAGAGGCATCACCTTGCCCGGCGCCATGGAGGGCATACGCTTTTACGTCAGCCCGAATCTTTCGAAATTGAAAGAGTCCGAGGTAAGGGACAGGCACGACCTTTACTTCAAGACAAATACAAATAATAGTTTAATGGTCATACATTTGACGCAGGTGTGGATAGACGCGGTGACGCAAATCTTCTTCTCGTACGGCCTGGGCCTGGGCACCCTCGTCGCCCTGGGCAGCTACAACAAGTTCACGAACAACGTGTACAAGGACGCGTTGATCGTCTGCTCGGTCAACTCGTCGACGTCGATGTTCGCGGGTTTCGTGATATTCTCGGTGGTCGGGTACATGGCCCACGAGCAGCAGAGACCGGTGGCCGAGGTGGCGGCCTCGGGTCCCGGCCTGGCCTTCCTCGCCTATCCATCGGCAGTGCTCCAGCTTCCCGGGGCGCCCCTCTGGTCGTGCTTGTTTTTCTTCATGCTGCTGCTCATCGGCCTGGACTCGCAGTTCTGCACCATGGAGGGCTTCATCACGGCCATGGTCGACGAGTGGCCCAAACTCCTGCGTAGGCGCAAGGAACTGTTCATCGCCCTGGTCTGCGTCCTCTCGTACCTGGTCGGCTTGTCCTGCATAACCCAGGGCGGCATGTACGTCTTCCAAATCCTCGATTCCTACGCCGTGTCCGGGTTCTGCCTCCTCTTTCTCATCTTCTTCGAGTGCATCTCGATAAGCTGGGCCTTTGGCGTCGATCGCTTCTACGACGGGATCAAGGACATGATCGGCTACTACCCACTCATCTGGTGGAAGTTCTGCTGGATCTTTGCCACTCCCGCCATATGCATCGTAAGTCTATACTTTGTTGTTTATCATTTTTACACTATAAATATACTTGCTCCACCCTGAGGAAAGCTCCGCGAACGACAAATACAGAATCACTGAAACACAACGACAAAGGGCTCCATGTTTTGCTAAATAAAGGGTAGCTATGGGATAAGATGTATACTTATACATGTATAGAGATTGAATTTACATATCTTTCCCGTCAAGGGAAATAAAAAAAAATTAAAAAATGGATCGTTGATCGTTTTTTCCATAACGTATGGTGTTAATCAAAAATTTCGCAGGGAGTCTTTATTTTCAATATCGTGCAATGGAAGCCCATCAAGTACTTGGACTACGAGTATCCCTGGTGGACGCACGTCGTCGGTTGGGGCACGGCGCTGTCTTCCATGCTTTGCATTCCCGGCTACATGATCTACATCTGGAACCACACCCCGGGAGACAGCAAGACGGTACGTACATCGTGTTTTTTTTTTTTTTTTTTTTTTTTTTTTTTTTTTTTTTTTTTTTTTTTTTTT